AATCAATGCTATACCACTACCCACGGCTTTCTGCGTAAGCTACAACTATGGTCATATTTCAACCAATCACGTCAGCGACAATTGGGCACGTGAGACCGAGTAACTGTATTCTATATAAACAAATTAGTTTTTAATGAACTGTCATTATACCATTGCCTATAAGGAAATGTGTTCTCAATTACTTATGTGAAGGGTACAGGTATTAATAACCACAGATTATTACAGTAACATATCTTTAATAATTAATAAATAATAAATAAAATGTACTGTACAATATTGTATATGAATGATAAGTTATAAAAAAATGAGTGAGAGGTGAGGGAGATGCAGTCACAGGAGAGACATGACCCTTGTGGGGGGGGGAAGGAGAACTGACTGTGCCCCCCCCCACCCGGGTTAGCAACCACCTCCTGTTATAATTGTGTTGGAGATGAATTTGATATCACATGATACTGAATTAATTATATCATTAATGACAATCGTTTGATTAATAGTAGTAATGACTGTAGTTTGAGATGCAGTACATGGGAGAGAGAGAAGGTGTGTGGGTGGCGTTGGGGGCGTGTGGGTGGCGTTGGCGTGTGGGTGGCGTTGAGGGGCGTGTGGGTGGCGTTAGGTGGTTGGCTTTTGGGGCGTGTGGGTGGTTGTGGGGGGCGTGTGGGTGGTTGGGGGGCGTGTGGGTGGTTGGACTGGTGGGTTGTGGGGGCAGTGTGGGTGGTTGTTGGGGGCAGTGTGGGTGGTTGGTTGGGGGCAGTGTGGGTGGTTGTTGGGGGTGGGGGTGGTTGTTGGGGTGTGTGGCGGCCGTTGGGGTGTGTTGGGCATGTGGGCGGCCGTTGGGGTGTGTGGGCGGCCGTTGGGGGTGTGTGGGCGGCCGTTGGGGGTGTGTGGGCGGCCGTTGGGGGTGTGGGCGGCCGTTGGGGGTGTGTGGGGCGGCCGTTGGGGGTGTGGGGCGGCCGTTGGGGGTGTGTGGGGCGGCCGTTGGGGTGTGGGGGGCGGCCGTTGGGGTGTGGGGGGCGGCCGTTGGGGGTGTGGGGGCAGGGGGGGTGTGTGGGCAGCCGTTGGGGGTGTGGGGGGTTGGGGTGTGTTGGGTGGGGGGCGGCCGTTGGGGTGTGGGGGCGGCCGTTGGGGTGTGGGGCGGCGTTGCGGGGGCTGGGGTGTGGGCAGCCGTTGGGGTGTGTGGGCGGCCGTTGGGGGTGTGTGGGGGCCGTTGGGGGGTGTGTGGTGGTTGTTGTGTGTGGGTGGTTGTTGGGGGGTGTGGGGTGTGTGGTGGTGTTGTTGGGGGGTGTGTGGGTGGTTGTTGGGGTATGTGGGTGGTTGTTGGGGTTGTTGGGGGTGTGTGGGGGTGTGTGGGTGGTGTGTGGGTGCGGGTTGTGTGGGTGGTTGTTGGGGGGTGTGTGGGTGGTTGTTGGGGGTGTGTGGGTGGTTGTTGGGGGGTGTGTGGTGGTGTGTGGGTGGTGTGTGGGTGGTGTGTGGTGTGGGTGGTGTGGGGGTGTGGGGTGTGTGTGGACGGTGTTGTGGGTGTGTGTGTGGACGGTGTGGGGGTGTGTGGGTGGTGTGTGGGTGTGTGTGGGGGGTGTGTGGACGGTGTTGGGGGGTGTGTGGTGTTGGGGTGTGTGGACGGTGTTGGGGTGTGTGGACCTGTGTGGGCGGTGTGGGGTGTGTGTGTGGGGGTGTGTGGGGGTGCCAGGGGGTGTGGAGGTGCGTGTGTGGACGGTGTGGGGTGTGTGGACTATGTGGGGGTGTGTGACGGTGTGGGGGTGTGTGTGGGGGGTGTGTGTGTGGTGTGGGGTGTGGGGTGTGTGGAGGTGTGTGTGTGGGACGGTGTGGTGTGTGTGGGGGTGTGTGTGTGGGGGGGTGTGGGGGGTGGGTGTGGGGGGTGTGTGGGGTGTGGGGGTGGGTGTGGGGTGTGTGTGGGGGTGTGGGGGGGGTGTGTGGGGTGTGGGGGTGTGTGGACGGTGTGGGGTGTGACGTGTGGGGGTGTGTGGACGGTGTGGGGTGTGTGGACGGTGTGTGTGGACGGTGTGTGGGGTGTGTGTGTGGGGGGTGTGTGGGGGTGTGGGGCTTGGACGGTGTGGGACGGGTGTGTGGACGGTGTGGGGGTGTGTGGACGGTGTGTGGGATGTGTGGACGGTGTTGGGGTGTGTGACGGTGTTGGGATGTGTGGACGGGTGGGGGGGTGTGTGGGGTGTGGGGGTGTGTGTGGGACGGTGTGGGTGGTGTGTGGGGACGGTGTGGGGGTGTGTGGACGGTGTTGTGGTGGTGTGTGGACGGTGTGGGGGTGTGTGGGCGGTGTGGACGGTGTGGGGGTGTGTGGGACGGTGTGGGGTGTGTGGACGGTGTGGGGTGTGTGACGGTGTGGGGGTGTGTGGACGGTGACGGTGTGGGGGTGTGTGGACGGTGTGGGGTGTGTGGACGGTGTGGGGTGTGTGGACGGTGTGTGGGGGTGTGTGTGTGGGGTGTGTGGACGGTGTGGGGGTGTGTGGACGGTGTGGGGTGTGTGGGGGTGTGGGGGTGTGTGGACGGTGTGGGGTGTGTGGACGGTGTGTGTGGGGGTGTGTGTGTGGGCGGTGTGGGGGGTGTGTGGGGGTTGTGGGGGGGTGTGTGTGGGGGTGTGTGGGGGTGTGTGGGCGGTGTGGGGGGTGTGTGTGGGGTGTGGGGGGTGTGTGGGCGGTGTGGGGTGTGTGGGCGGTGTGGGGGTGTGTGGGCGGTGTGGGGGTGTGGGGCGGTGTTGGGGGTGTGTGTGGGGGTGTTGGGGGTGTGTGGGCAGTGTGGGGGTGTGTGGGTGTTGGGGGTGTGTGGGCGTGTGGGGGTGTGGGGGGTGGGATGGTTGGGGGTGTGTGGGGCGGTGTTGGGCGGTGGGGGTGTGTGGGCGGTGTTGGGGGTGTGTGGGCGGTGTTGGGGGTGTGTGGTGTTGGGGGTGTGTGGTGTTGGTGTGTGGGGTGTGGGCGGTGTTGGGGTGTGTGGGCGGTGTGGGGTGTGTGGTGTGTTGGGGGTGTGTGTTGGCGTGTGTGGGCGGTGTTGGGGGTGTGGGCGGTGTTGGGGTGTGTGTGGGCGGTGTTGGGGGTGTGTGGGCGGTGTTGGGGTGTGTGGGCCGGTGTTGGGGGTGTGTGGACGGTGTTGGGGGTGTGTGGATGGTGTTGAGCCGTTGGAATGCAACCAGGGGAAATTTTTCCAAGTCTAAACTACTCATCTCACATGGACAGAGGGAACTGTACAATATTTATTTACAGAAACACCGCTTTACTGTACACGTACAATATATTGTAAATAAAACAATATATATACTACTGTACACACTATACTGTACTCGCCAGCAGTTGCCGTCATGTTGGGTTTGTGATGCAGGTGTTACTGTCACTCTCATCTCCCTCCATGAAGGAGAGATTGCACATGCACTGTTATACTGTACTGTATATGCAACCTCTACACACTGGTATACACACAGTACTCAATATATGAAGGATAATGATTGTATCATGTATTGGAACAACAGGATAAATGTGTATTAATCATCATGTATCACAGAAAGACTTCTGGTTGAATTAGGTCTAATTATAGAATAAATTATTGAAACATTAGTGACGGTCATTACTTTACCGATAATACAGGTATTTTACATAATTTATTTATCAGTGGCCTAAGGCTAAAAGTGCATTAGAAAGTATTTGCGATAGAGGGGAGTAGGGGATTACTGGGACTCATGTTAATGATCTGACCTGATACAATGTCATGTCACCCATTGCATATACTGTAAGCTCTTCTCTCATTTGCAGTAGAGGTCAGGTGGGGGATTAGTGGATCTCATGTTACTGACCTGACTTGAAGATGTCTTGAAAAGAATCAAAAGCTAAGTTGCTCCAGTGTTTTCCTTTTCCTGTACACAAGGTACTTCCACATTTACTGAATGTACAGTACTATATATGTAACTATAATCACATCTTCGGTCTTACCACTGCTTTAACACTGTCTCCTTAGCTGATTAAGTCCTAGTACAGTAATGTACAGTACTATACAACTGTATGCAAAACAGCAACGAGCAAGGGAACAACCTTGCACAATGGCAGCAGATTATGAACTAAGAGCACGAGCTTACAGCTTAAGTTACCCATGTAGCTACCCCACCCATGTGCCCTACACATGGAACATGTCAAGAGCATGGTGTAATCTTTCAAAATTCCCAGAAAATTTGTTCTCCTGCCCAGAAATGGAGAGATTCTCAGAACTATTCCTCAAAATGCTCATGATTTCATCTTCGGAAACTCATTCCCATGTCAGGAATGGACAGTCTTCCCAGAAGGCTCAAAATTCATTCTGGCAATTGGAGAGTTGCAGGGACCAGAGATTCCAAGCAAAAGGAAGATTACTATACAGTACAGGTAGTTCTGCTATAACGCGATAATTGTGTTCTTGTAAAATATCATGTTATAGAAAATCGCGTAATAGAAATAACAGGGCTTATGGAGAAAATAGGGTTAGGTGCAGATTACTCGAAATCGAAAAAATTTAGTAGTTAGCCTAACACAAAGGATACCACAGTCTAAATAAATGTTACATTCATATCTAATAATGAAATCATACAGTAAATGTAACACTTTACCTTGAAAAAATATGAATGTAACTTGATGGGGGAGAAGGGTGATTTTGAGGTTGATAACATCGAGCTTCTCTTCAAGTGTTATATCCTTTCTTTTACGATCATCACCGGGAATTCTATCACCAGAACGCTTCTTGGAGATATTCTTCTTTACCATATTCACAATTAATACCACAAAATTGGAGAAATAGTAAGCAAAAATCGCGTTATAGCAAACAAGCGTTCGCGTTATACAAATATCGTTCCTAATTCATAAATCTCGTTAGAGCAAATTCGCGTTATCAAAACACGCGTTATAGCAGAACTCACTGTACTGCAATCTTTCATCATAATCATAGACATCATCAGCAAGTTATTACATTAAGTTGAATACTAAAAGGCATAAAATACACAAATACAAACTAACCTGTGAGCATTCCTGGCGGACATGAGGAAAGAACACATGGTGAGGTGACAAGTGCAAGTGACGGATAAGAAGAGATGGCAAGCTTGATACAAATGACGGTACTGCCCACTGATGGTTGAGCATGTACACATACACGTCAGCAGCCTGGAACATGTTAAATTCATCAATACTAGAGAAAAATTATATAAACCATGAATCCTTAATGTCTACACACCATGAACATTTAATATAAACAATAAGAACTTTCCAATAAGAAACTTAAGTTAAAATTGTCTCAGTTTTAATACTTAACAAAATACAACATTTCCCTGACAACTGCAGAATCTAAAATATAAATAACCGAAACTACACCAAAATCTGTATTTTAGCGAGTAACATTTTCATTAATAAAGTCAAGCATACCAGTATTTAATAAGCCATCAATCACTGACATTATTCATGTATCAAATATTCCAGTAAATTTTCTGACCAAATACAGTACACTACATAAGAGGTTCTCAATTTTTTTTTCACTGTCGACCAGGGTGTATGCTTCCAATATATTTGCAGACCTGTAAATGAGGGGGAGCATAAATAACATATTTAAGAATATTAAAATGCACAGCGCAGTTTCTCTCTCGAGTGCCGAATTACAGTACAGTTAACCCTCACTTTACGCGGTTAATGTAACCCGGAGGGTACCGCGGAAAGCGAGAAACGCATAAAGTGAATAACATAACATATGGGATTAATTGAAATGGAGTCCAGGCCGATCCCCAAACTCCACTTTTTGACGACACATAACTATGTTGTAGTAAAAATAACATCTTAATTATATGATGGTACATGCACACAATTAATACTTAAGAGAAATACAGTCGCCAAGTTAATGTTCATTCAAATAATGGACACGACTCCCTCCCCCTCTCACACTACACTGCCGGCTCTTCCCTCTCTGAGAAATTTTGGGGGGAAATCCAGGTATAGTAATAAATAATACCTCAAACTAAAGTTAGGATAATATAATTGACATTGCTGGATTCCTTGTAAGACCAGGAATATTTTGAATATAAATGTCATATATTTTTCACAAAAGATAACATACTTACTCAGATTAAACATTTTATCTAAAAATTTGTATGTCTAATGCAAAATCTATGATGTTTATATTCAAAATGATCATCAAATTGTAAGAATTCCAGCAATGTAAATTATATTCTGGCCGGATAATTTGTATGAATTTTATGAGCTAAATTAAAAAAAATTTTACTTCACCGTGTAAAGGGGTACATCCACTGCGGAATGTAAGCATCCTTGGTTCTGGCAGGGCACCGCGTAAACGTGGAAACGCGGAATGTGGGACCGCGTAAAGTGAGGGTTGACTGTATAGTAAAACCTCGATTAACCGTCAATCCCGAACCCCTATTTTTTTTTTTTTTTTTTTTACGGGGATTAGCCCACCCGGGCACAGGTCACTGACCTACATCAGGGCCTGGGGGGTGATGTAATAATATTAATAATGATAATGCTAATAATAATAATAATAGTAATAAAGAACCATAAAGAAATGCAAAAATGAAAAAAAAATCAAGTGTGAAACAATGTACCTGTATGTATGTTGTGTTGTCAATGGTAAGAGAAACAATTGAGACCCTGCAATTGTGTGTAAATGAGGCAGAAAGTCAGATCAGCAACCTGGGACTTGGTCAAAATTTTTGTGATGACATTTGTTCTTTGACTTTTCCATTTTTTAGTCACGGTTTCTGTGCTGGTTCATATTTATTTACTAAAGTGGTTAATGTTTTAAAGCAAATTCTATTGAAATATGAATGGCAAATGAACAAAAATGAATAGAAGGACTTAAATGAGGTAGGTTAGGGAAAGGTATTTTGAAAACGTATGTTTTATTTCCGTAGACTTTATGTACTATTAACCGACCTTTTCGATTATCCGTCGGCCCCTTCCCCCCATATGTGGTGTGCCGAGTTATCAAGAGTTTACTGTACATACAAAAGTATATATAAGAATAATAATAACTGTACCTACAAAATATTAACAAAATAAAGTTTTTCTTTTGTATATTTTATTCTAATAACATAAAATGGAGCTAACCTGAGTGTCAAAGATACTGCTGAAGTTAATTTGAAACTGATGATGCAAGATGTCTTCCATTGCTCGGCAATCATGTACAACCTTCAGGATGGCACTGTCCTGGATTATGTCTCCCAAGCCTTCTTGAAATGCCTGTGAGGCTCCCATGTTGGCCATATCAAAGAGAAAAATCATTGTGGAAGTTGCAACACTGAGCCATGCCAAAGTTCCTGAACGACCCAGCTTCAGGCCCTCCATTCCCATTGCAATGACATTTTCAGCACTAATGAAAGTCAGCTGTTGAAGTACAAAGAATTTTGACAATAGTTAAGGAAACAATTTAATTCTCTAAACAGTACAGTTACAGATTCACTTGAAATAGAAATTAAATTTATTATTAATGCAAAACATACTGTACATAATTAGACTAGAAAACTGTATCATAACCAAGATTATTTTTTATTTTGAATTACTGTACATAAATTCTACTCTTTGTATATAACATTTACTTATCTATGAATATATCATTGTACACTTATATAGGACTATATTTATTGTATTAAATATGAATGGTAACAAGCTGATGAAACACACACATAAAGTACGTGGTAACATTTCATTATTTCAAGCCTTTTCCAACCTAATGCAGGGTGGTCAGAAACAAGTGCAAATATTATACACACAGACACACATTTTCCCTCTAATCATCATAATTCAACCATCCTTACTACTGTAAAGGATGGGTTCTGTTAAAAAACTATACTTCCATACATTGCTGCTTCCTGAATTCCAATCCCCAACACTTCTAGTGAATCCTTCACCCGACTTCCTTTCAGTACAGTGGTCCCTCGGTTAACGATTTACCTTCCATAAGATTCTTAACTTCGGTTAATGAGCAATCCCTCGATTAACGAGTTTTTTACGAGCCGACTTCAACATGTTTTCGCTTGCATTTGGCGGTCCACCAGCTGTAGTATTAGTCCGCCAATACAGTAATCGGTTTTAGGGCTTAAATTCCTTACTATTTTAGTAAATATCAAGAATTTTATACTATTCAATAATTTTAAAAGTTTAATATTAACTTTTTTAGTCATTTTAACAATTATTGAACATAATTGAAGGTAAAGAAACTAGTTTCTGGCGTGCCATCCAGCCTGTTTACACACCAGACAGGCGTTAGTCTCTCTTTGTTTTCAGTGGAGGTAACATCTTGCTTGAGACTCTCTTCAACTAAACGCTTTTTTTCTGTTTCCAAGCAAATTATTGGTCATTTTGAAATATATTTTACATATTGACAATATATAATGCAGTGCAGTGTTGATTTAAAGAAAATAATCTTGAATTACACCAAGAGAGCTAAAATTTTATGGGTAAAATGGTGCCATGGGGTGACTTCTGTTCCACCCCAATGCCTTCTCTTCTTCCTTCTCCTCCACCCCCATTCTAATTCCCATCATCATCGTCATCATCCAGGAGCCTTCTACATACACACCTCAAAGTAAGTGTACTTTTCTACCTTTTTTGTTGAATTTAGGCAATTTTCGGTGAGCTGGAACCAATTACCCAAAAACCCATTGAAACAATGGTTTCGGTTAACGAGTTTTTCGGTTAACGAGCAACCTGCTGGAACGGATTGTGCTCGTTAACCGAGGGACCACTGTATATTAAATACAGAGGCATCATTGAGCCAACATCATATTAATATTGTAATGTATGGACTGGATGTAGAGGAAGGAGACAGAGAGAAGTGACAAAAATTAATAGGAAATTAAGAAATATGAAAGTAACATGAAAGTGAAAAAAGTGTTGAGCTAAGACAAGATTAGGGTCTGTGCGGGTGCTTTGAACATGTTGAAAGACTTGGTAAATAGAGTTTACAATTCAGAAACGGATGATAAGAATGAGAGCGGAAGATCAAGGTGGCTTTCACTTCCAAGTGTGTCAACAGGTTCATACAGGTGAAGACGCTGAAAAAAATTACAGTAGACCCTTGCGATTCGCAAATTGGCAAAACCGCAAATAGCAACTTATACTACCTTAGTGCACTACTACTGTATACCTATACCAAACAGCTGTCCAGCCGTGGCAGCACTCATCCCCTCTTTTAACTTATCTAAATAATAAAACTTTCTTTCTCAGGGTCATCACTGACTTCTGCCTTTTAAATTTCACTCCACTGTAACATCACTAGCAGTGACACTAGGCAGTCTTCTAGGAGCCATTTCACACAGAAACACTAATGTTTTGAGAGTACAACATGAGATGCTGCATGGTGTGACCCGTTATGCTGCAAGAAAAGGCTTGCAAGATAGCCACCATCTGCTTATGGCAAATCCCAAACTCGCAAATGGCAAGGGTCTACTGTACAGTATTATAAATGAAAGCTCTCTTACAGGTACACTAAAACAAAACTTAACATCTTTTATACTGACAATAACAACATCACCGGGGAAATGCAAAAGCACTCCAGCTGATCATGCTAGTGAGGTAATAAAAAGAAACTGACAATAAGATGGAGTAACAGAACGAGGATAAGATGGGTGAGATTGTTGCACCACGGGAGAAATTTAAAGACAAACGTTTCAGTTTCTGTACATGAAGAAGGTTTTGACATATAACATCCTGCTGTATAATAAGAAAAAATTAGCTGAATTGTGTACAGCATGCCCTGACAATTCACAGATTTTTAATTTGCAGACCTCGATTATTCGTGGATGATACCCTAGATGTACCCTAGAATGTCTAAGGTAGGGTTGCCATACGTCCGTATTTTCCTGGACATGTCCTCCATTTAGGTCTCAAAATCTTCATCCGGAAGGAATTTTTAAAATTCTTCAAAAGTCCGGAATTTCATCTTCCATCATTTTCTCCACGGAAAAAACATGAAACTGTAATGACGAGAGAGAGAGCGAGAGAGGGAAGGTGGAAACCTTAGAGATCTTGTTCAGTTTTTGTCAGCTGATAAGTCACTTGTACGCCTGTATGGTGTTGTCAACTTAGCTGTCAAATATTTGATTGATAAGGGGGTAGAAGTTTATGAAGTGTTTTGACCAAGTTAGTAACCTGAAACAGTTTGTGGAAAATTACAAGAGTGATGAAGAATTTAGTAATCTGCCAACACATAAAACGTGGACCAGATACTTTGAAAAATCAAAGAACATTGAATGCCACTCAGAATTGCTAAGAATTGCACAATTCTTCTTTGCTATATCATCTCACAATGCAATGTAGAAAGAGTTTTTTCACTAATGCAAAGTCAATGGACAAAGGAAAGGAACAAATTGAGTGTTGAAACAATGAAAGGCATTCTGACTGTACAGTACAACTTCCGAGAAACACCTTGCAGTGACTTCTATACCTTTCTAAAAAGCTATCAGCCAATACTGAAAAAGATCCAATCAACAGAAAAGTATGCATGGGAACATCAAGTCACACACACAGTGGGGAAAGAAGACTGCAGCTAAGGAAATGAAGATGTTCAGCCTTAAGCAAAGGTTTTTTTTTTTTAAGATTTCTATACCATGTATGTTGTATATTAGCCTGTGTGTGCAGGGTGGGGGGGGGGATGTCTTCGGGGGCATCCTCTTTTTTGAATGTTCAGATATGGCAACCCTAGTCTAAGGGTAGTTTTAATGTTGCTGGCATTTTCCTGGGCAGGACAGGGAGCCATTTGTTCTACAGACAGTAATTTATTTTACCTGTATTGTTTATGTGTGTGTGTGTAGACACACACACACAAAACACATACAAATAAATAATAATGGGAAAATCCTCTCACAAATAATCAGAAACAAACAAAATGTATTAAAAATGTGAGTCTACCCTCAAGTTAACTCCGTGCTTTCTTTAGTAACCAAGCACAGAGTTGACATGAGTGGTAGACTCTCACATTTTCAATACATTTTGTTTGTTTCTGATTATTTGCGAGAGGATTTTCTCAATATTTTATTTGTGTTTTGTTTGTGTCTGTGTGTCTACACACACATACACCCTGTACATACATACAATACAGGTAAAAGAAATAATTGTCCTAAGGGCAAACACAAAGGGAACATACATTTCTTTGCACACGAGTAAAAATTTAACCCCCCCCATCCCCGTCGTCAGCTATTCGTGGCCATTTTGAGAACCTAACCCCCGTGAATTTTAAGGGCATGCTGTACTAATTTTTCTTTAAGCATTTCCTTAAAAGTGAAAATAAAAATATTTATGCTTACAGCTTTCTTAAATGCATCATCAAGTGTATCAATTACAACCCACTTGGCTGGTCGTGGAATTCGAGCTGGGGGTGGAGGCTCTTCCTGTATGTCTTTGGAAATATTTTCATTAAGAGGTAATGGTTTTTGCTCTGCTCTACCAAGCAAAACATCATCATCTACTTCATTATACATCTCATCAAAAGCATTCAAGTGTATAGGAACATATTTCTTCATCAGAAGCTGTCTACCATCCCAAACTTCACGGTACACATCCTGTAGGAATAGAAATAATATTGTATACTATCACATTACCTTTCCTACACTCTCAATTTAGTGTGGGGTGTGTCAAGGGATAAAAAAAAAACAGAAAAGGGGTAAATTGGCAATGAAAATTCATGCAACTGAAAGAACAAGTAAAAATACTCTACCCAAAATAATAACCTCTTAAGCACAGGGAATGTTCAATAACAATGTTCATAAAACTTATAGTACTATACTCATCTTCCACATTTTTTCTCACTTTCACATGTTTGGAAGCATAGCAATTCAGTACTATATTAATACAGGTATCCTTCATTTAACAATCGGGATGCATTTCTGAAAAACAGATCACTAAGTGAAATGATCGCTAAGCAAACAACAAAGAAATAATATCCCAAACATGGGATAACAAGGAATAATATGTATGGAGATAGCACATAATGGTATAGCCGAGTCACCAACTGGCCGATTCGCCATGCAGTAGCACTCAAGAGGGGATGAGGCTGAGCTGTGAGCCATGTTATTGTTCAAATCATAACTTTGGGTAGATATACATAATTTTCATTTTCTTTCACTGTTACATGCACACTATTGTTCATACAGAATGTGCAAACAAGGTAAAAAAAAAATTATTATAGGTAAAAAAACATAAAGGGATTAAACAATTCTTATGTGGTCTGTACTTAGTCAACAGAGCAGGGGAGGGAGAGAGAGGAGAGGCATGGGGGATCTCTCAGCTGTTCTCTGTCTCGTGTCCCATGAAATGATTGCCAAATGGCAACATGGTATTTTTTATTTTATTTATTATTTTTTTCTATTTATTCCTCATCTTTACTGATACAGCATACACACAACACAGTTCATCTGGGCAGTCACCAAGATTATTCGAGAGACGTGTATGGCTGCTACCTGTATACCGTGACATCAAACAGGGGGGAGGGAGCGCGGCTGGCCAGTCAATGCCTCAATACAAACTTTCACTTTCCATACATACACACCCACACTCTTCATTTTATAATTGTATATTATACTGTATACTATAAAACTATAAAATACAGTATACAATACAGTATTTTCTTTATTTCAAGGCCACATCACAGTACAGTAAGTCCCCACTGAATGAAAGGGTTAGGTGCCACTACAATGCGTTCGTTAGGTGGATTATGTTCATCAAAACAATTTTTCCCATATAAATTAATGTAATAAGTGGGTATGTGTTCCTGTACTAGGCTTTGTGATAGAATAATATACTGTACTATGCTCTGTGACGAAATAATTGCAACATCAAAATACTGTAGATAAAAACAATAAAACAGGTAAGCATAAAGGCACAAATAGTGTTACTGTAGCCACCAAATCCATGTCTAAAGCAACAGGTACAGTGGTTGTTCCTCTCCTCACTCCCTGTCGTATTTCACTGGATTTACTGTTATTATTAGTGTTTACTAATAGAATAGTGATTAATCTAATCACTGGTATTGTAGCTAGGTTAGACTCATCACTGAAACCACCAGGCTCATGGGCCAAGCTGTGAGGTGTTAGCTGGGGACCGACAATGTGCCTAGTACCGGGGCCCAGATTGGTTGGCTACTTCCCTGTGCGCACTTGGAGCATAGAATCACTAGTTTTTCCGACTTCCCTCCCAAATTTTTCCGTGAGAGTTGAATATTTCTAAACCGAAAATTGCAGATCGTTAAACAATAAAGGATGTTAAAAGTTTTAGATCTCTAAACCAAAATATCGCCAAGTAAACAATAGCTAGATGAGGGATGCCTGTATATGCTTGATGAAAAAATACCTTTCTGTCTCTTAAAGTACAGTAAACCTTTGAAAGTCTGGACAATTTGGAGGGAAATGGGGTCCGGACTTGCCAATTGTTCGAATTTTTATCAAGTATTTTTGGGGGGTTCTGGGGGCCACTGTGCACTCATTAGACCCCCCCCCCCCCTGCAACACACAAGGGAATTAACACAGCAATGCATCCCAAGTGAGGATGATGACTGCTGCTGTGATGTGTTGCTGGTTTCATGTTTTGTTTTATCTTATTATATTAAGTGTAGGCTTATTGTGACAAATTTGTGCGTGGCTAACTGATGCACAAGTGTGTGGTGGTGGGTTAAAGATCAGTTGTTGAGTGCATGGCAACATTCCTTTCCACTCCATCTCTCTAATCACCCACACCTTCCTCCTCTCTCACTCCACATTTCAAAATGTTAAGTAACGTAATGTTGAAGGGATACAACGCTGCTCATTTATATTGTACTTACTCAATTTTGTGGGTAGATATCAGCTGTTCAATAGCATCTGGCAGTGCTGTAGGTGCAGTGTTACCAAAGAAACTGATAGATGCATCACCACAATCTCCCTCACCACCACCAGTACCTCTATTATCACCACCTAAATCATAATTTCAGTGATGCAGAGATGGATTAGCTTCAGCCAGAGCAGAGACATATGATATCCACTGAACTCCATCCCTCCCTCCCATGCACTGCATCTCACACTACTACAATTTGCACTACAGTAAAGCCTCCGATAATCACGGTTCAACTAACGAAGATTCATATCTAAGACCCTGGTTAATTTAGGATCTAATTCAATTTACGCCATTTCTTTTTTGTACAGTATAGTCTGGATTTACGCGGTTTTGCTTAACGCGTTTGGTCATTTACACGGTGCCTTGCCAGAATGAAATGTTTTAATTACGCGGTAAATTTGGTTATTTACACAGGAAGCGGCGCAGGCAGGGTGCGCACAAGGTCACCCAGTCATCAAAACATTACTGAGTTCTTCACCCGCCACCCACCACAGCCAGCCCAAGTCAGTGATAGTGAGGATATGGACTTTGAGGGGTTTGACAAAGAGGCCCTGCAAGCCTCTGTGGTGGATAGTGATACAATTGATACAAGTGATACAGGTGAGAGCCAATCATCTGCCCTCTGCCTCGGAACCAACCTCCCCATCCCCGTGTGCCCAGCCATCTTTTCTACTAACGTAAGTGTTAAAAAACCTAATATTATTGATACAGTGGTCCCTCTGTTAACGAGCACAATTCGTTCCAGAAGGTTGCTCATTAACCGAAAACTTCGTTAACCGAAACCATTATTTCAATGGGTATTTGGGTAATTGGTTCCAGCTCACCGAAAATTGCCTGAAGTCAACAAAAAAGGTAGTAAAGTACACTTACTTTGAGGTGTGTATGTAGAAGGCTCCTGGATGATGATGATGATGATGGGAATTAGAATGGGGGTGGAGGAGAAGGGAGAAGAGAAGGCTTTGGGGTGGAACCCCATGGCACCATTTCACCCATAAAATTTTAGTTCACTTGGTGTAATTCAAGATTATTTTCTTTAAGTCAACACTGCACTGCATTATATATTGTCAATATGTAAAATATATTTCAAAATTACCAATAATTTGACTGAAGACCGAGAACAAAAAAGCATTTATGTTGAAAAGAGTCTGAAGCAAGATGTTACCTCCACTGAAAAGACAGAGACTGATGCCTGTATGGTGTGTTGACAGGCTGTTTGGCGCGCTATACACTAGTTCCCTGTACTGTACTTAAATTATGTTTAATAATTGTTAAAATGCCTAAAAAATTTAATATAAGACTTTTAAAATTATTGAATAGTACAAACTTCTTGACATTTACTAAAATAGTAAGGAATTTAAGCCCTAGAACCGAATACTGTATTGCCAGACTAATAACACAGCTAGTGTGCAAGCAAAAACATGTTGGGGGCTGCTCGTAAGGAATTCGTTAATCGAGGGAATGCTCGTTAACCTAAGTTAAGAATCTTATGGAAGGTAATTTATTAACCAAAATTTCGTTAACCGAGGCGCTTGTTAACCGAGGGATCACTGTATTTCTCTTAATTATTAATTGTGTGTGCATACCATCAAAATTAAGATGTTTTTTTGACTACAAGGTACGTATTGTGCCGGAAAAAGTGGAGTTTGGGGGTCGGCCCAGTCTCTATTTCAATTAATCCCATATGTTCTCTTATTTCATTAACGCGTTTCTCGTTTTACGTGGACCTCCACGGGTTCAATTGACCGCGTAAATCCAGACTATACAGTATTTATGACAAAATTAAAAAATATATATTACATTTTCGTATAAACAATAACTAAATCCTGATATTATATAAAAAAAAAAACACGCCTTGCATACGGAGCCTGCCTGACTTGTTAGTGGCGACGCCAGCATCACTAGTATAAACAATCGCAGCTGGCGGGCTCTTTGTTTTCACTCATCTGAACAGGAAAAGGAGAAAAACTTTCTCAGGTTTCTTACAGCATTTTTGCATTCCTATTCAACATGAGCAAAAGACCAAGTGATGGTAGTGTTGTTTCAAAAGTTAATAGAAAATGTATAAGCTTAGTCGAGAAACTAGATGTGTTAAAACGATATGAAAAAGGTGAGAGGTCTGTGGATATTATATGGAGCAAGCAATGAACATAGTTTCTGAAGTGGATCAATGAACAGAACAAAGCATTAAAATTTAAAAAAACACAAATGACCTCAACACAAAGTTCTATAATGAGAAAAGAAAGCAGCTGTGCAAGGTTCTTTCGACAGCTTTATTACTCGAAAGCCTAAACCATCAACTTCAGCTACACCATCAAATTTAGCATCATAAGCAGCTTCAACAACAACTTCAGGTTCAGTAACAGTTTCAGCAACAGCTTTATGGAAAGCTACAGCTTCAGCCAGAGTTGAACCTGATGACTTCGTCATCTGAGTAAAAACTCGCACAATATTCATTGGCTGTCCTTATGTTTTAGACTTTACCACCATTGGTGAGTAGAACTTTTGTTTTACATTCGTAAATATTATTTAAAACATATATGAACAGTAAATAAGTGTTGCTTTCATATTCATATGTAGAGAAATGATGATATCTTTTCACATATACGCATTTACTGTACATACGTTGGTGTTCCCAATCGTCTCGCTTTATTTCTTTACCATTAGTGGTTAGCTTCTTCTAGCGTTCCATTTATTA